ATGTGGCCTTTGGTAATGTAGCAAGGTCCCATTAATAGGGTGATGACATCATTTATCATCTTGAACAATATTTGTTAATCTACCTAATAAATATCAAATCTTTTCGTGAAGGAGAGATTTTATTCCCAAAATAATATAAACACGAGAGAAATAAATAGATCGCAAGTGAATTGAAACAACAAAAAATATCTAAGATGGTGAACCATAAAGAAACACAATAAAATGCCATTCATACACACAACATGTGATAATCATTCACAAAAAGTTAACAACATGACGCTTTAACAAAATGTATGAGACACTTAGGTGATCCCAAGAGAATTTAAACAAAATCATAAAATTTATTGCAGGTTGTTGAAAAGACAAATAGTTAAATGGGAGAGTAAAATTGAAAGGCGTACATGCCAACTAAGCAAAAGGAGAACAATATTAATTCATGGAATCTTTAGCAACACTCAATTTGTGGAAGATGTAAGATTTTTTTATGTCCGTGCGAAGTTCTTGCTAAATTTCACTTGTTCTTAAATATTACGTCACTAAAATCAATTAACATTATAACATTGGTTACTAGTTTAGTAGCGTACACTCACAGATGACGTGAACTATCTATCTTTAAACACATTGTGCAACAAGCTAAATTGCCAGTCTAATTGATAAATAGTTACCAAATCTGCGTAAAATTTCAAATTGATGCTTGGTATGCTTTTTAAACTCAATTACCTTCTTATCAAAGTAATAATTATATAAAATGATATGGATTTAGTTAAAAAAAAAAAAGGAAAAAAAAAAAAAAAAAAAAGGGATTACTTTTGACGTGAACTATCTATCTTTAAACACATTGTGCAACAAGCTAAATTGCCAGTCTAATTGATAAATAGTTACCAAATCTGCGTAAAATTTCAAATTGATGCTTGGTATGCTTTTTAAACTCAATTACCTTCTTATCAAAATAATAATTATATAAAATGATATGGATTTAGTTAAAAAAAAAAAAGGAAAAAAAAAAAAGAAAGAAAAGGGTATCACTGGATTTGTACCTAATTCTTATACAATGCCAACTTTTGTATTTTCTAAAATATTTGCAAATATAAACTCTGAGTTGATCTTAAATTGTCATTTTGAAATCGTAATAGTGACATCCATCAAAGGAAGTGGACATTATAATTTTTAGGATTAAACTAATTGTACATTTCTAGTGTACATAAATTTGACATTGTGTGATATATTGAAAATTGTGTCATTGATTTGAATAAGCGTGGTTAAAATCAATGACCATAATTACTGTCATATCAAGTAATGTCAAACTTATCAATCACAATGTACATATAGAAGAACTGTAATTTTTATCATTCGGCTCAAGCAAGAAGCAAAAGAACCAAAATAATTAATAAGAAAAAAAATCAAATATTTTGCATATTTCTACACATATATGGATGATTCAATGTAAGAATATTACTCTTTTATTTGATTGCAAATCATGGACAATATCTTAAGAGTTTTAAACTCAATAACAACTAAATATGAGATTTTTACTTGTTACCAAACTTAACACCTTATGGCACGAACTCATGCAACCACGTACTATGCCTGCGTTCCTCAGAGACCTCTACCTTTCATGAAAATTCAAGAATATGAGAGTTTCAAACTCAACAACAACTAAATATGAGAGTTTTACTTGTTACCAAACTTAACACCTTATGGCACGAACTCATGCAGCCACGTACTATCTATGCCTGTGTTCCTTAAGAGACCTCTACCTTTCATGAAAATTCAAGAATACGAGAGTTTCAAACTCAACAACGACTAAATATGAGAGTTTTACTTGTTACCAAACTTAACACCTTATAGCACAAACTCATGCAACCACGTACTATCTATGCCTGCATTCCTCAAGAGACCTCCAACTTTCATGAAAATTCAAGAATATGTCAAATCCTAGGAATGTTTCGTGTTTTGTATTAAATTTAAATTACACACTTCACCCCCTCACACATGCGGTTGTTAACTTGTACAATCCCTATAATTTTTTTTAAGATCATTATTGCAAACATACTCCGCATGCAAAATGTGTAACTGGTGCATCACAAAGAAACACAATAAAACCCATCCATAGACAACGAGTGATAATTAGCTAAGAAAATAGCTATGTGACACTTTAATTCGTGTACGGAATTGACTCCAAGAGAATTCAAAGAAAACTCGTAAAATTTATTGCAGATCATTGAAAAGACAAATTGTTAAATAAGACATTGAAATTGAAATATTGATTCACAGAATCTTTAGTCGAGAAGACTAACATACAATTTTTGAAAGAGGTAAAATCTTCGTTAATAATCACCGACGTTTGTGCGAAATTTCACTTGGTTCTTAAAATACTTTTCTAATCAATAATGTCACTAAAATTTATTAACATTTCAACATTGGTCACTTGGTTAGTAGCATATATAAGCTCCATATACGATATGAGTTTATGACACGGTTGAATTATTACGTGGACTAAGTAGCGCTAAACATATTACAAAATAAGCTAATCACGACACTGAAGTGTTTTTTTCAAATTCACTTACCTTTAGAATAACATTTATATATAATATTATAGATTATTTTCAACTTGATGCTTGAAGTGATTTTCAAACTCATTTACCTTTAGAATAACATTCATATATTTTATTCTAGATTTAGGGCCCGTTTGGGATGGCTTTTGAAAAGCCAAAAGGAGCTTTTGAGAGCCAAAAAGCTTTTGGACCGTTTGGCTATTTTTGTTTAAAGTGCTTTTGGAGGTTAGAAGAACTTTTAGAGGAAGCTGGTTTTTTTGGCTTCCTCCAAAAGCACTTCCGGAATGGGAAGTGGTTTTAAATATTAATTTTCAAAAAAAATTAAAATAGCTTTCTCCAAAAGCTCTTCTACAAGAAGCAAAAGCCAAAGTAAAAGCCGTGTCAAACGGGCCCTTAGTAAAATACTAATGTAGGTATCACCAGATTTCTATGTAATTCTTCTACAACCCTAATTCTAATGTATTTTTTAAAATACTTAAAAGTAAACTCTGAGTTGAACTTAATTTTTCATTTGGTACTCTTAATAGAGACATCCACCAAAGGAAGTGGACATAATAATTTTTTATCATTCGTGTCAAGTAAGATTCAAAAGAACCAAGTATGAAAATCAAATATTTTATATGGTTGGTTCAATTCAAGAAAATTGACTCATCTTGGATTGCGAATCACGGGCAGTTTCTTAAAGTTCTTGTACTCAATGACAACAACTAAACATGAGGGTTGTGTTCATTAAAGACTTAGCTCATCACCTTATGGGGCGAACTCGTGACATCCATGCATTATATATTCCCAAGTTCTTGAAGATAACTCTATTTTCGATTCTCGAACTATGCAACTTAGTGTGGTTTATGTATTCATGACAATCCATAATCCATTTTTATCTATTTCTTTCGATGTAAGTTAAACATATTCTGGCCACGAAATGATCATACTTCCATTCTAAATTTATATGCAAAGTAATGCATTAACGTACACGATAATCTATATGATTGCACACGTCATACACATTATTTCTAACATTTATTGTCCTTGCATTAATCTTGTTGTGTTTTAAATTTATTGTGAATCTTACTGCACTATAACAAACAACTAATTATCTAATCAGTGATCAAGCAATAAAATAATGAAATATTCAAGTAATATTAATCAAAAACATAAAAATACACTAACTACTCGATCTTTGAATAAAAAATAAGTAAATAATGATTTTATCGTCATCCAATACAATAAAGAGTTTAGTCTAGCATGATTTCTTGATATTACAAAAAAGAATAACAAGAAACCATCGCCCAAAACTTATAGGATTACAAAAAATTTGATTGAGAATCAATTTCTTTTCACTTTCGAGCTTTGAATTTTCAATTTTTGATGTAAATTGTCATGTTTCTCAATGCTAGACCTCTTCCCTCCAATACAGAATGTGTTTGGTCGTTTTTTGCTCTCCAATTAGGTTAAATTGTGGCCACTAATTCAATAAAAGAGTTCCATCAAAACAATGAAACTGACTTGTTTGCATAGTTTGTAGCCTTGCGATTACATGGCTTGACCCATTGCGATCAGATAATTAAGCTTGTTGTTGTGCTCTTGGTTCAGCCAAATTTTGGGGTTGTGTTCACGAGCAATTGCAATTTGGTCCTTGACTTTCTGCCCGAGGTATGATTTAGTCTCTCTCTTTTTGTTTTTTAGTCATTTTGCCTTCTAATTACATTCAATTGAGTCGTGTTTTCTTCAATCATCAATATTTATCCAAATCCTTTCTCACTCGATTTGCATTTCTTTCCTTCAATTTCACCTACAAGCGTTGAATTTCATCTAACAAACAATATATACATGAGATTAAGTTATAATTAATTAAGAGTATTGCAAAATATCATCACGTAAATCATTCTTGAAAACATACTCCCTAAGCAAAATGCGCAATTGTTGCATCCATTGTTTAAGGTTAGAGTTTCTTTCCGCGTTCACTCCACTAGTTTTTGTACTTTATTGTCAGTGTCTGTCCAACAAAATGTCTTTGAAGTCGTCGGTGTTCTTCTTTATTTTAATGCATTTAAGTAGTCTACCGAAAATTCTCTTTGCTCCCAATGTATTCCAAATCAACAAGCGAGTCCAAAGTTGAGCTCGGAGATTTGACATGTTTCATATTCGAATGACGACAACATTTATAGTGTTAAAACAAAGTCTATGAGATGGGCAAAAATGTCAAATTGACAAATAAATGTAGAATCTTTTCATGTGAGAGAGATTTTATACCTAAAACAATAAATTTAAAAAAAAAAAAAATCGCAAGGAAACTGAAACAACAAAAATATCTAAAATCACAAAGAAACACAAACAATAAGAAGACCCTAACACGTCAATTCTATCTGCCCACTCGCAAATGACGTGGCAGTCCATCACCGCCTTTATCTCATTTATACACAAGCGCGTGTGATTAAAACCTAGGAGGCGACAGATCTTTTAGAGAGAGAAACAATGACTTTTTTAGAGAGAGAAACCGAATAGACTTCGGATCAAAGAACAGAACGGCCCCTTCTTCTCTCCGCCACCCAAACCCTAAAAATTCATAGACTTTTTCTTTTCTTTTCTTATTTTTATTTTTGTTTTTATTTTTGTTTTTGTTTTCGCAATCTTTAGATCTTTCGCTTCTGTTTCTGTTTCTGTTTCTGTTTCTGTTTTTTATTATTATTCATTTAATTTTGATAAAGTAGATCTGCATATATCGAGCCTCTTTTGATTTAATTGCTGAGTATTTTCTTTTCGTAAATTGAGGTTATTGAAGCCCTAGGTTTGGATTTTTTGTTTCGTGACTATAGGGTTTTGAAGCCCTAGCTTTGGAACATGGGTTATTTTAGGGTTCTTGAGGGTTGATTTCGTGAAGTTAGGGTTTATATATTACATGAATGGAGTCGGGGGCTTTAGGGGATTCGGATAAAGATCTGGATTCGAGACCGAGGGTTCGATGGAACGAGAATAGCAAAGTTTATACCCGAAGGGTCGCCAAGAAAGCCCAAATAACCAGCATCACTTGCGATTCTGCCACTACCACCGGTACCAAGAATCCCACAGCCTCAAACACTTCCACCACCGAGGATCCTGCCGCCGCCGAAGTTCCATTCTCAACCGTTACCACCGCTGCGGCTGAGAACCCCACAAGAGACGCCTCTACCTCCACTCCGACGGCTATCGCAGACTTCCCTACTGCGACAATAACTGACCACCGTAAGAGCAGCGACAATGTTGTGACAGAATTTTCGAAAACCCCTGAGGTTGATGATGTAGATTCTTCTCCGCAGAGGCAGCAAGAGCAGTACCCTCATCAAGAACGGACGTCCTCGAAAACCCTAGTGCCCAAAGTTGCAGATGCTTCTCAGCAGCAGCAAGGACAACAACCGCATCAAGAAGATGGTTCAAGACAGAATCAAGTGCGAGTAGGGAATAAGATCAACAACTTGAAAGAATCATCACCCCTGGGCAGTGCAGATGAAGTGCCACAAAAAATTGGGCATGGGCCAGAGAGTTCGAGAGAATCATCACCACAGCCCAGCGCGAATGAGCTGCCAAATTGTAGGGAATCTTCTATGGCACAGTTGCCCCGTGGGTATGAGCTTCAGAATGGTAGAGAAGAAACCCTAGTTCCCTCTATCCTGCCCAGTGGGGAGGAGCCAGTAACTGTGAACGGAAACAGGAAACCCCTGGTGGTGACCAGGATTGATGATAGGATTAGATTTAATTTATCTGAAGCAACGCCAAGGGATGAGATTAGAGAGCTTAAGAAGAAGCTAGAGGGGGAGCTTGAGCAGGTTAGGATGTTATTTAAACAGTTAGAAGCCAAGGATGCTAATATTAACAGTAGTATTATTAGCAGTAATAATATTTTGACCGGCAGTGTTGGTGCTAATTTGGGTGGGTATATTCAACCTCAACCTCAGTATGTGAGAAATGATGCAGTAGAGACGAGGGTGCTATTGAGACTGAATTCAGAGGCAACCAGGCCGATGGGGTTAGCAAGAGTGAATTCTGATGTGGGTGCGACACGGTATATGAAACCAAGGCCTTACAGTAGGCAACTAAGTGTTGCAGTAATGGAAAACAATCCCGGGGTTGGTGAATATGTGGAAAAGGAGAAAAGGACTCCCAAGGCAAATCAGTATTACAGGAATTCAGAGTTTCTTTTGGGTAAGGATAGACTGCCTCCTGAAAGCAATAAGAGATTAAAGGCAAATAATAAGAGGAAGTTTGGTGGACATGGATTTGGCTTTGGTTTCGCAATGGATAAGAACATGAATCAGGTGTTCAGGAGTTGCAGCAACTTGCTTCAGAGGTTGATGAAGCACAAACATGGATGGGTGTTTAATGAACCTGTGAATGCCAAGGCACTGGGATTGCGTGATTACCATGATATCATTAAGCATCCTATGGATTTGGGTACAATTAAGAATAGACTGTCACAAAATTGGTACAAGTCTCCAAGGGAGTTTGCAGAGGATGTGAGACTTGTGTTTCGGAATGCAATGATCTACAATCCAAAAGGGCAGGATGTCCACATTATGGCTGAACAGTTGTTGGAGATTTTTGAAGAGCGATGGGCAGTTATAGAAGAGGAGTATAATCATTATTGGAAGTACCAAATGTATCATGATGTGGGGTTGCCCACTCCCACTTCAAGAAAGGCTCCACCTCAGCCTCATTTTGCTCCCCCTGCCTTTTCCTCGGCTCCTGTTTCCGCCTCTTTTCCTGCCCATGCTCCATCTGCCCCACAGATGATGACTTTGGATAGGTCGGAGTCGGTGGCTACACCTATATCTCTTGATCCCAAAGTTCAGCGTACTCATGTTGGTAGGATGCCTGTTCCAAAGAAACCTAAGGCGAAGGATCCCCATAAGAGGGACATGACTTATGAGGAGAAGCAAAGACTTAGCAAAAATCTTCAGAGCTTACCTTCTGAGAAGCTCGATGCACTTATTCAAATCATTAAGAAGAGGAACACTGCTCTTTCTCAAAATGATAACGAGATTGAGGTGGACATTGACACTGTTGATACGGAAACCTTGTGGGAACTTGATAGGTTTGTGACTAATTTCAAGAAGAGCTTGAGCAAGTACAAAAGAAAAGCGGAACTTGCTCTTCAAGCTAGAGCAGGAGCTAATCTGACTGTTCCCGTGATGGTAAGAGTTTGATTTATAATTTCTCTAGTCTGATTTGGAATTCAAAGTCAATACACATAATGAGCCCGTTTGATTCTCATTTTTTTAAGAATGAGAATGAAAAATATAGTCGTTGTGGGACCCACACAAGAGATAGAAAGCCAAATAATGTGACTTGATGTGGTGAATAACGGTCATATTTTTCATTTTTGTGGCCAAAAAATGTGAATCAAACAGGGGCAATGTAATTTTCTTAGAAAATAAATAATTGATCATATCTTTTCATCATATTGCAGGGTACAACCCCGGCAATGGCAGAGGTTCCTATAGAAAGTGGACCAGGTGGCATTTTTTTCTATGATATTGATATTCTAGCGGTTACTTTGCACACACATATTACCATAACTGACCTTCGAATTTCTTGTTTTTTTTTTTGAAGTAGTTGGAAAGATTTCTGCTGCTGCTCCTGTTCAAGTTGAAAAGCTGGGGTATAATCCGAGTAAGTCCAGTAGTTCAAGCAGTTCTAGCAGTGATTCTGGATCATCTTCGAGCGGTAAATGATTTTTCTCTCATTCATATATTAAACGAAGCAACAAAAATGAGAATCAAAATAGAGCATAATATGAAAAAATTCCCTAAAAAGTATAGAAAGGGGTCCAGATTCTTGAAAACCTAAACCCAGGGAAAATAAATTAAACAAATTAAATTGGAGAACTGAAAAACCTTAGCATTCCCTGCCTATAGTTTAGACCAAAGCTCTTCTATCCCAACCTTAAAATCAATAAGGTATGTGTTTATATGGCAAGATATATAAACAGAGAAGGAGAAGTTACCGAGAAAAGAGAGAATTTTATAAAACCCTGTTTCCCTTCATATATCAGTTTCTGCTTGCTGCTAAACCCTAATAGGTGAATATTTATGCGTATATGGGGGGTGGATCTTCTTCTTCGGAGTAGTGGATGCAGATTTTGGGGGATGGGAGCCACCCTGAGAGAAGTGAAACTGGGATCTCCGATGAAATTGAAAATCGGTATGTCAACATGAGAGAAGGAACCCCAGATCTTAAAGGATGGCCTGAATTTGGGGAGAGAACAGAGAGAAGGTCCTGGAGAAAAATGATGAGGATGACAGTGAAAATCTGAATGAAGAGAGAAAATCGGGGAGAGAGAGAGTGTTGCAGAGGGAGAAGGAAAATTAATGTGGTGTGTAGTTTTGGGAGAAAATGGATGGAAAGGATCGTGATGTGTATACCCTTTCAAATAAGGGAGGTCAAAATAATATAGAAGATGTCATAATGACGTCAGCAAAACTTTGTTATTTTCGACGACGATGTGAACAGTAACTCTTACGGCTCTTTTTTTACTAGGATACCACGCAACCCTTTATATACACTTTTACTGATATGATTCATTATATGGTGCACGTTTGGGTGGGCTTATAAGCAGGTAGGCTCGTAAGATTGTACATCTCTCCTTAAAAATAAGCTTATAAGCCCACGCAAGCATGCTAGATAATGTTGATATCTTTGCTTTAATCATTACTCTGTCGTCTTCTGACTGATTCTCTTATTATTTAACATCGTTGCAGATTCCGATAGTGATAGCTCCTCTGCTGATGGGTCTGATGAAGAGCATTGATCTTGTATGGATTTTCTTGAGGTAAATGAGAGTATTTGCATTATCGTTAAATTTTTTCTGCTTCGGTCATCCATGCATTGAGCATTAATCTATTATTAATTTTTTTTTTTGTTGTTGTTTTCCATGGCTTCGTTTCTCCTCCTCTTTTTGATATATTGTCAGCAGTGGTGTTAACGTTGCTATTTAAAGTGCCAAAGATATATCGTGCTCTTTAATCATTCCCCTTCTCCAAACAACCTAGTGGACGTCATTAAAGAATTTTTTCCATGTTCACATCTGGGTCAATAGGTGGAATATGACATGCCACTATATCTCAATTGAATCTGGTTCTTATTCTATCCTTAATAAGTTTTCTCTAATTGTCGAGAAATGGTGTTCTGATCTGTAAGTTTATCTGATTGATGCACAAGTGGATTTACATTTTTTATGTTCAAGTCTAAAAGAAAGTGGTTTCAGAGTCAAGGATTGTGATGATTGACAGGTGTTTCCATGCTCTGCAAACTAGCCATTCATGTCTTTCTCCATTTGATCATTAACCTCCCAACTAAAAGCAGGGGAAAGCGAAACTAAAAAAGGAATAAAATCAATTGAAATATGCTCATAGAGATCTATTTTTAAATTAATACCGTCTTAAAGTTGATTTTTCAATGGTGTGCGTGGTTTGTGGAGAAAAGTTGTCATATATTTTATTTCCTTGGTTTTTACTTTAATCCTATCTTTTGATCTACATATTTTAAATGGTGGTTTTGGGCGGGTGGGGGGTCGTAGGAAATGTTGAGATACTATCCGAAACTTAAGAACCTAATGATACGGTTTGAGGGTTAAAAACACCGCTAATCACTCTCCATCCATCTCCTTTGTTGAATTAACGAAAAATTTGACATGGCTAACAGAAAATATGATGTGGCATGGAAAATCTGTCCATGCATCGTTTTATGGTGCAGTTGGGCAAAAAAATGTCTTGTTGGACTTGCTGTGCTTTCGTGATTTCCACAGAGAAATTTTGCCTAGCTAATGATAATATTGTTTATGCTGCATCATAATTTCTTGTAGCCATGGTGTTTACATTAATTCAGTGTAGAGAGTGATTGACAAGAAATGGATGTCTCAGTTAATAATTATAACTATAAAAAATACTCTGGATTTTGTTCAATTTATCTTTCCATGTTTTGTTAAATATAAACCGAGACCAAATATTGAGTTTTCTTGCATATTGTAATGTTGCTGGACATCTCAATAGGATGAACTTTATCTGTTCTGAAAAATTATTTTTGTTATGTCTCTGCAAATGATGGTTTACAGACCCTTCTGAGGGAGCAGGTGGGGAGTGCTGGTGGATGCATTGTGTTTGACGGGTTAGGTGTATGACTTGGAGCTTGCTCTCATTCGTAACTTATTTGGAACTTGTAGGTCCTATTTTTAAGGCGGTTTCTTTTGTTGAGACGAATGTGTATTTTTGAATGGTTATAAAGAACTTAGCAAATGTAAATTGCTGTGATATGTACCAATTCTAGGTTTTTTATTTTTATTTTTATTTTTTCTAGTTGTACAAGGCTTGTGGTAGGATTTTCATGGGGTAACATCTGATGGTGACAAACTTTTTGAGGTTGGTAGAATATGAAAATCATGTAAGTATGGTAGGAGTAGCTGAATTGTAATGTTTTTTTTATTTCCCCACAAAGTAATGTTGCTCATTGTATCAGTTCCTGGTGTCGAAAAGGGGAAAAATAGTGTATTGTGTACAGAGCTTTTGGACCTCTTAAGTGTAGTGTTTGATTTTTGTTTCGAGTTAAAATTTGGGTATAGAGGCTTTGTAGATTTTGGCCAAGGCATTGTTTTGGATGTCAATTCCCTTGTACAGTTCCCCTTGTTTTACTTGGAATTGCTAAATGCTTCAACTGCTAGTGACTAGTGTACATATTAGAGCATCTCAAATGTACGTCTATTAGTTAGGTGGCATGGACTTTCGGTGACATTAATGTCTAATAAATAGGCATTAAAGTCCAAAATTGATTTCCATTGCATTAGTTGAATTGCTATGTAGGTGTCATTTATATTCTTTAACACTTTGTTTGACAATCATTAAAATGAATTTTCGGAGAATGTGGTTAAAAAAGTAAGAAAAGTTTTGGGCTTACGTGTAAAATATTTTATTGTGAGAATGTGATTGAAGATAAGTTCGAGAAAAAAAGAGTTTTGTTTAATGAGTCAAACCAGGGCTAAAAATGAAAAACAAAACAATATTAAATCTGGAAAGGGGATGTATGATTTGTTAAGTAACCATGAAATATTGTTCATTTTGTTATTTGCCAAGTCAGTTTGACAGGAGTCCCTGTCAGCTTTCTTTATTTTACTTGTAAAATAGCAAAATTTTAAGCAATTGATCGTTGCATCAGAGATGCTCTTAGCTGCTATGTTACAAGTCTCTTTAAGAAGAATCGAGATTAAAAGTAGCAGTTAGAATTGATTTGAAGTGATCATTGCTTACAAAGACTTCGAGGTTCCTGCTCTAAAGGGAATTTAGGATTTTGAATAATGGCAAGTCAATTCAGAGCTTGTTTGATATTGGGTAATTGGCACAAAACTTCCTTACCTTTTAAGTCTATTGTGAAAAACGTCCCTACCTCTCATTTTTTGGCATTTTTGCCCTCATTTCAACTTTTCTTTGCGCTGGACGTCCTTCCGTCCATATTCCGTAGTTTTTCCGTTAATTAAAGAGTAATTGGCACAAAACGTCCCTACCTTTCAAGTCTATTGTGAAAAACGTCCATCCCTTTCATTTTTTGGCATTTTTGCCCTCATTTCAATCTTTCTTTGCGCTGGACGTCCTTCCGTCCATATTTCGTCAGTTTTTCCGTTAATTAAATAGAAAAATACCTTTTTCTTTCTATAAAAAAGGATAAAATTGTCCTCATCCACTTCACCCCTTTTTCTCGCAATCAACTTAGTCCATAAGTAACAGTAGCAACGGCATGAATCTGAAAATACTTTAAATGATTAAGTTAAATAAAGAAAAAATATCGTGAACACATTATATTTCACAATTCCACAACCAATGTTACTGTCATCTTATGTCACTGGAAAATTTTAGAAAGACATATTAAATGGGTAGTCAATTTATAATGAGCCAAAATGGTGAATGGCTCTTTTTGGCTCAATGGAGAAGATGAATGGCTCATTTTAAATTGACTCGTTATAAATTGACTACCCATTTAATATGTCTTTCTAAATTTTTCCAGTGACACAAGATGACAGCAACAATAGTTGTGGAATTGTGAAATATAATGTGTTCACGATATTTTTTCTTTATTTAACTTAATCATTTAAAGAATTTTCAGATTCATGTCGCTGCTACTGTTACTTATGGACTAAGTTGATGGCGGGAAAAAGGGGGGAAATGGGTGAGGACAATTTTACCCTTGTTTATGGAACGAAAAAGGTATTTTTGTATTTAATTAACGGAAAAACTGACGAAATATGGACGGAAGGACGTCCAGCGCAAAGAAAGATTGAAATGAGGGCAAAAATGCCAAAAAATGAAAGGTAGGGACGTTTTCCACAATAGACTTGAAAGGTAGGGACGTTTTGTGCCAATTACCCGAATGTTTAACGGAATATGGACGGAAGGACGTCCAGCGCAAAGAAAGATTGAAATGAGGGCAAAAATGCCAAAAAATGAAAGGTAGGGACGTTTTCCACAATAGACTTGAAAGGTAGGGACGTTTTGTGCCAATTACCCGAAAGTTTAACGGAAAAACTGACGGAATATGGACGGAAGGACGTCCAGCGCAAAGAAAGGTTGAAATGAGGGCAAAAATGCCAAAAAATGAAAGGTAGGGACGTTTTCCATAATAGATTTGAAAGGTAGGGACGTTTTGTGCCAATTACCCGAAAGTTTAACGGAAAAACTGACGGAATATGGACGTCCAGCGCAAAGAAAGGTTGAAATGAGGGCAAAAATGCCAAAAAATGAAAGGTATGGACGTTTTCCACAATAAACTTAAAAGGTACGGACGTTTTGTGCCAATTACCCTTTTATATTTAGAGAAATAATTTCACAATGTATGATTAAAAATAATAATTTTACACGTACAGAATTATTCCAACAGAAAAAAAAAACAAAATATTCATATGGGGTGAGGTTCATGTGAGTTTTTTTATTGGGAAAAAAACATCACCCACCTTGTGTGTGTGTTTTTTGAAGTTCTGTATAGATTCTGCTCAATAATCTCTGTATATGAAAATTATTTTATTCAAAGATTATGGTTGAAAATGTGCAATGAAGAAAAGTAGCATCATAATTTTTTTACAATCTCATAGAATCTAGTATCTTAAATTGTTGCTGCCCAAAAAAAATTGTTGTAAGCCATATTTATGCAACGAATCATTAACCGTCACATGCATGTCACGTAAAACGACTACGGTAGTGAACAAGTACAAATGATATTATTTCATAAAAGTAATGCAATTTCACCACTTTTATCAGCCTAATTCGGAGGAGAAAAAGAAAAAAAAATGCAAATCCAAGGACGGATAGAAAAATTGTTTTCACCGAAATTTGGTCGTTTGAAGAGAAATTTCCATTGCAAGTGCCCGAAGGGACTGATTGCAATATTAGTAAAGGATCGAGGACTAATTAAATTCCTTCATCAGGCAATTAACTGTACAGACGAATATTCTATTTGACCCAGTTTTTGATGGGAGAAAATACTGGAAAAGTAGAAGGTACAGTGGAAAAAAAGGAGAATATGCAACTTGATGTCTTTTGCATCCTATCCAACACCAAAGGAATAAACTATGAAGATGCTATAAAATTGATCAACCACTCAAGATGTTGGGATATCTCGTGTTTCTGTCTTTTCATTTGTATAAAAGAGCTCGAGGATGAAGTCATCTTAGATCAACTTCATCTAAAAGCTCTCGTAATCAAACAAAATATTTCCACAAAATTATCTCAAAAGCAACTTTGGCTTTTCAAATGATCTACCAAATGGGCATTTAATGCACTAACAATTTAACACATCTTTATATTACAAAATATAAATCCGTCAAAACTCATATATATTGAAGTATTTACTTCTACATATCAAACTTCTCATTAAAACTAGCACAATGAACACACAATAGTGCATGAAAATATAGATATTCGTTTTCTTTCTAGTTTTTTTTTATTGAAAATAATTTTTCTTCTGCAAGAATGGCTGAATATAATTAAAAGGTACAATCTTGAATAACATGAAGAGAATGAAGTACCAATTAGCATAGAACCAGAGCCTAACACCATCTAGTTGACCACAAGCAACAAGGCCGCAAACTTTACAGAGACGTGTCACCCACAAAACGACGAACATAAATATGAAGTGTGTAACAAGCAAGCTCGATAAAATGGATCAATTTGAACAAAAGATGTAAATGTACTTCTACTGTACAAGTTTTGGTTTCTTTTTACATAACTCACCGTGGTAAACTAGAATGTCAGAAAATAAGGAAGTTTAGAAATGCATCAAGCAGTAGCAGAATAGAGAGTATCCAGAATTTCCCGTGGAAACGACATTATTCAATGGAGATAAAATTTGAACTACTGAATTGGAAGTGTAGACAGAATTTATTTACTCTAAGAAATGAGATGAAAAGGCTCATAATTTACTCACTCTCTGCAAATCGACCATTGGATTTATTTACAGAAGCTCCCAATCAGGCTCAGGTGTCTCTTGTGATGGTGATCTCGGCAAGAGAGAATATGCAGTAGGTGTAGAGGGCAAAGAACTTGATCCAGAATGTTGCCATAATTCTTTATCAACATCTCCATACAGTATTGCCAAGTGTTCATATTCCTTGATTAATCTCTTGTGTGATCCAAAAGCATTCTTAATCAATTTCTACAAATAAAACAAACAAGGTGTTCGATGAAATTGGTTTGCTTGATCACGATTATTCAAATAAAGCTCATGACTGGACGACCAATCATTTAGTAGTGCAGAGAATGTGAGCAAGTCAATATAAATGAACAGGAATGAATTATTGGTGATTGCGGATAATACAGACAGAGTACAATGAAATGGTACCTTATAATATCTGAAATTTCTCCCTCTGTAAGCAGCACTGTAGACAGAGTTAGCATTCACAATAGCACAACTTCCATCACGCTCTACCTTATCAGAGAGATCGACTGTTGCCATGTCACGGTCAGAAATACCACCACTAACTTCGCAAAAGTTACCTGTTCAATGCGTTCAACAGTAAAACCAGACGAGTTACTTTAGGAATGACATATATAAAGAATAGCAAGGACAACTCAATAAATACACTAGAGCACGAAATTGATTAATTACCATTATCCAACTGTTAATGTAAATATGATTGACTAGGGAATTTATTTATTTATTTATTATTATTTTTTTTTTTTGAAGGATTATATCATACGCCATATAACAGAGTACACGGTACCAGATATCAATGACTATTTTCATAGAGCAAAGAAGCACCATTAAAGAAGTACTAAATTCATTTTTTTTCAATTTTTACATGTACATAACCATCCAGCAGAAACAAGCATGCAAAACTGAACCTTAATCATCTTCATAAACCACAAGCCAGCATAAAATTAGTAAACATTAAGTAGAAATATATAAAATATTAGGTATCCACAAAAATACAAAACATACCAATTTCTGCAGGAGACATGAGCAAATTGGATTGATGACTGTCACAGCATAGTTCTTTCCTACTTCCAGATGGTTCAAACACAGAAACTGATCCATGAGTTGTGGAAGTATTAACATCTGCAAAGTAGAAAAAGGTTAGAGGTTAAGAAACTTTCTATTAGGAAAGAAAGAGTTACAAGGAGCGGACATAGAAAAAGGGGAGAAAACTATAATGTAAGACACACAAAACGGAAAATATTATACGGTACAAAGGAAGGAGGTAGAACGTTGGAAATACCAACATTTGATTTAAAGAGAGACACTACCAGAAAATGCAGGAATAAAATCCGGAGTCTTTGTTTCACATGCTGCAGTAGTGAAAGATGCAGAACATTTATGGTCGTTCGATTTATCATAAATGCAATCAATAGAATCAACACGAGGACCAAATATATCTTCAGCCTTCTGAACCAACTCTGCAAGTGTTAACTCCGAAAAATTAGAAGACTCAGGAGATGCAGAACAACCGGAACAGAAAACACCATTATCCGCTTCTTCGTTCTCACAAGAAAAATTTGAAACCACAATTTCAGGTGACTGGATGGTGCTTGACGCATTGAAACACTCATCTACAGTTGAAAAATTATCAGAAAGAGTACCATCTTTATCTGAGGTTCTGCAGTCTGCATCATCAGCTGAAGAAGTTGATAAATTTTTTGTAGGAACATTATATATTTCACCTTTGTCAACTGAAACTGCTTGTGGTACAGATAAACTCCCATCTTCATCAAAATTTGAAGATTCAACTTCTGGCAAGTCATGTTGCTGGATGGTGCTTGACTCATTGAAACACACTACTTCAGTTGAAAGGTTATCATCAGGAGGTCTATCTTTTTCTGACGTTCTGCAATCTGCATCATCAGCTGAAGATGATGATGATGAATTCATTATCTTAACATTACCCTTTTGACCATTATCAATTGAAACTGGTTTTGGTACAGATAACTTCGCATCTTCATCAAAATTTGAATCTTCAACTTCTGGCAACTCAAGTGCAGTTGGCAGGACGGGGCTTGAAGCATTGAAACACACAACTTCAGTTGAAAGGTTATCCGAAGTAAGCTTCTCTTTTTCTGGGGTTCTGCAATCTGCATCATCAGCTGAAGATGATGATGAATCCATTACTGGAACATTATCCTCTTGACCTTTATCAACTGAAACATCTTGTGGTGCAGATAAACTTCTATCGTCATCAGAATTGGAATCTTCAATTTCTGGCAAGTCAAGTTCAAGATTAAATTCCCAGCCAGTGCTTGATACATCAGAACTGCACTCTACGGCATCTGAAAAGCTTTTACCAGAGATCCCTCCTTTTGGGAGAGTTACAAGCCTTGCCTCATGAACTGGTGGTGCTAGTGAAGAAACCATGGACAGTGAGGTATTGTTACGAACTCCACTTGTATCCCTTGTCTCACGAACCACATTATCTGAGTCCTTGGAGATTATACCATCACCAGATTGTTCCAAAGGCAAATCAGTTTCTGCTTCTTCACAAGGATCTGCAACAGGTGCAGTAAAACATTGCACTGAACAGTTTAGTTTGCTTGGCATCAATGTATTGTTGTTTCTCTGAGTGTCAACAGAACCCTGTTGCATAGACCACTCTTCAGAATTCACGATATCCTCTAATGGTGGAAGCATTTCTTGGACCACATTGGTGTAAAATCTTTTCACACCTGAACCAACACTTTGCACTTGATTCTCAACATATTTAACTGTTTCCTGTACAATTAACCAATTTAGACTGCGAGAATAATATTCTACACCAGGGATGATAAATTTCTACCAACAGGTCTAAAAATAACTCTACTTAAGCGAGCTCAAGCTGCCATTTTCTAGAGACAAGATTGTTTGTCCAACCTTGTCCGTGCAAATATACTATGTCAGTATGACTTAAGAGTAAAAGAAATAGAAAACAATACCTTGTTTATAAAACCATCAACCTCATTACACATGGACTCGAACCTGTTACATATGTTCCCAACCCACGTTTTACCTTTGTTTTTTAAATCCATTGGAACATATATTATGTGGCCAAATGATCAAGACAACTCGTCACTAAAATTAAACACAATTCCTGATGATCTCAGATGATCGAACCTGCATACATGCACATAGGATTTCATAAGAATAGCTCATACAGAAACTCTATTTTTCAGTAAAAGGAAAATGAGTTTGTTTTTAGCATTAACTTCCTAAGAAGTGGCAAGCTGATTTTTTTATTTTTTTTTTTGGGTAACTTCTCACTTGTTGTCTAGGGTAATAAGAATAAATTCCAAGACATCACATAGGGAACTTATAATTCCATGAAATTCCACGGATGTATTGAAGAACAGAAAAACATTATAACATATATAGACGCACACAAAAAACTTTGCCAATTATTTTTAACAAGGGGAAAAAACTATTTTTTATCAAAAATTGCGGAAGAATGAAGGCATAGCAAGATCAGCAGGGTCCATGTAATGAGATCCTTAAGAGCATGTTTCACTAAGCTTTAGGAAAAATAGAAGTACTTTTTCAGAAAATAAGTAAAGACTTCACTCTTAGAAAACGTTTCTGAAATCTTAATACGAAGTATAACTTCAGAAAAAAATCAAAGTATATCTGAGAGAAAGGATGACTTCTAAGCTTAACCAATAATGATTTAAGTCATTAACATACAAGCAAAAAATGTTACCTAAAATGATGGACATGCAAGAAATACAATTATAACATCAAATAGAACAAATATTTTTCAATGAACCCTTGACAAAAACTAAAAAACACTATTATAGGTCCCATAATTAGAGTTCAAGGTCAAAACCGGCACATAGCCGAATTAAATTGTCAAATTCAATAGCCATCATTGAAGTGAAGCAGACTAAATAATGAAAATTAAGGCTACACAGAAGCGTACGAAAACTAAATCAGAATTCAGGAAATTCTGAGCTTCCGACGATGTATAAACATGAAAGGCCCGTTTTTTAATCATCCAGCTCCAGAAGAAAAGAGTGTGTTAATCAAACTCCAAATCACCTACTTAATTTTCTAACAGCTTTTTTTCCTCCTTCTAAGCCAAAAATCCTTCTTTTACAACGACCAAAAGATTCCACTTCCTCCGACCACAAATATATAGATGATCACAAGCAAAAAACGTAGAATTTGATTAAAAAGTAAGAAACTTCAAAGAAAACTGCAAAAAATTAAAGCTTTTGACTTCTAAAAAAAGGAAGAGAAACTCTGATCGGGAAACATAAAGAGAAAGACGACTTACTGGGTAAACGTCGGAAGAAAGGGTTCAGGCGGGGCGAGAGCGAAAAGGTGTTTTAATCTGCGCCAGGAGCAGAGAATACACGCTATAATACGCAGTGCGTGCATTATATACACACGTGCAAGGTTTTATGTAGGGTTTATGCAGTGTGCATTTTGGTGAAAAAGAGGCATTAGGACTATTTTGGGAATAGGAGTCCGTATCAAATGTAGTACATAACCATTTATAATTCAAAAATCTCATAAATAATTGGATATTTCATCAACAAGATTCCATAAATCGAAGGGAAAAATTCCACCCCCAACCATCAGACATTCGAAATGCTCAAATTACCTAAAATATTTTCAAAATTTAGAAATGTGACATTATATATCCCAACTAACGAAAAAGTTTGTTTGAACGTTAAATAATCCCATGATACTCTCATAATGTCATGGATCAGTTGAAGTAAAACGATAATTTTTTTGAATACGGTTAAATTTCCAAATGAAAATTGAATTCACCATTTAGTAAGTTCAAAATAAATGATCTTTTTAGATGATTTTAAAATTTTAAAACTCAGGCATTAAATCTCCCAATGACCACCAAAAAAATAAAAAAAAAATATTTTGTCTAAATATTAAATGACCTGATGATACTCTCATCTTGTCAAGGATCGATTTACATGAAATAATATTTTCCTTGAATATGAACGAAATTTTTTTAGACGATATACCCTTTACCTTAATATCACACTTCACGTTGAAATAAATCAAACCATTTTGGACGATTTTACCTTTCACCTTAATTTATCATTTCGCAGAGTCATTTGACTCTCTTCTTTTAGTTAAGGACATAGGTGTGAAGGATGAAAATATAAGCACAATGTCGATTGAAGACACGAGTACATCACTCATCGAATAGTGAGATCCCTTGATAATTTTATCTTTAATGATTTTATGTCTCGACACAACTCAGAATATTGAGATGGGTCGAACTCGTAACATTTTTTGGCATCATAATTAAGTGAGACTAATAATTTAACAAATTCATCAGTAATTATTGAAATATTTATATTTCCTTATAAGCCTTAAATATAAGTCAATTTCAGTGATTTTTATCAACCAATAATAGGATGGACACAACAAAAATCTTTATTGAATATTCAATGCTATAGAACCTTCAGTCACCACAACATTGTTTTATTTTCACAATCATAAGTAGTTAATGCATAACTCGATATCAAATGAATAATGCCATCTATTACCATTTATATTATAAATTCAACGAAATGTAAAATTAAATGACTCATGTAATTGTACGACTTGAAACCTCACTTAAACTAGTGTTATAGTATAACATTACTTTTATCAAATTGGTATTTGATCGACTCAAAAGAGTTTGGATTAACACATTAAGCATCAATATTTAGTTCGTAAATCAATTTCAATTCTCTTTCCTTTTTTAATACTACATACATGTGAATTTGCACAACGTAAGATACAATTAATTGTCCTATCAAGAATTCCTACAACCTTTCCTTCGACAGAGCTAAGACTCTTATCAAATGGGGATTCCACCATGGCTCAAAAGTTTGGATTAAGTAACACATTGAACATCAAACTAAACACTATCATAGTTACTTCATAAATCAGTATAATAAACAAAATTTCATCTTTCCTTTTTCAATACTATAAAATACAAGACATCATTAATTGTTAAGTACATTGAGCTGAATCGATACAAAAATACAATTTGTGCATCACTTTTTTTTACATCAATTTTCCCACTCCCTCACAAAGGTGGGGTCCACAATTAAACTTGCATGTGTGTGCTCTATGAAAAAAAGTGTGAAAAAAAGTGTACTCGTAGAATGGTTGGAATCAATATATGTTTGGTAGGACAGATTGAATAGTACCAACAGTATGCATTCATTATGACATTTGAGAAATTTCATATTCCATCCATCCTATAAAAAGTCCTATATTTTTTTTCACACAGATTAAGAAAATTTAATTAATATAGTTGAAATAATAAGTTTTACTATCATTTTTCTAATATGCCCCTACATTAATGCAATCAATATTCAAGGAATTAAATTATATTTATGATAACAAAGCACGTTAAATAGAGGCATATTAGAAAACTAATATATTAACTATACTTTCAAATAAGAAACAAGACTATATTTTCGGCCAAACGCCAAAAAAAAAAAAAAAAAAAAAAAGACTATCTTTATAGGACAGAGGGAGTAATAGCTGTTCAAATTGTTAAAAGACAACAATGAACAAATTTTTTGTTCTAAAAAATTTGTACAAAGCAAAAGTTTCATACATGAAGACACACAAGACTCGGACAAATTCAACTTTCGTAGCAGTTGTCAAAACACAGAGAAGAAATTCATACATTTAGAGCACAAAACCCACTTGCGTAAGCATTAACTGCACTTACATAGAGCAATGCCAAGAGTTCAGGCAAACTACGGAGTAACTCAACTAACACAGACTATATTTCAATGACCACATGAGCATAAAACCAACCAAACTAGATGAAAATTAACCACACACTGGAGCAAGCTACCAAGAGATAAAATATCTTCTTTAAAAATAGATTCGATTCGAAACTCTTATATAGTCAATATGGAAATAATTTAGGAGGTTTTCTGTGACTTAGTCCATGTCAACAAGCAATTCGAAAAATCATTTTTTTCTTTTTTCTTTTTTTTTTAAAAAAAAAAAAGGTCCGAGTCAAATAGCAGTGATTCGAATCACTTCTTTTTACACTATTTTGGAAACCTAAGAACTCAATCGTATGGTATACAGGACTTTCAACCCTAACAAGGATGCAAAAACAGAAACTAGCATATAACTCAACAAACAATACAACTTGCTCCCACCACCCTAGCTTAGATATAAAAGAATATAGCCAATGCCAGTACGCAGATATAGGAGTAATTCCAAACTTATACAGTAGTTAAATCAGCAATTTTAGCAAATGTATCTAACAACAACGGCCTATTTAACTTTAATTGAGCACGTAAAGAGAAAAAAGATCCCAAGGAAGCTAGCACACAGTAAGGGGAAGGAATGGGGAAAATATTTTATGAACAAACCTTAACGGGACGGAAGATTTTGTTATTTTCAAACAGTATTAGTGGAAAAACATACAGCATTTTGAAATTTTAGTGGGGTATAAACCAACCTGAATGAAACATCTTCAGGTTAAGCTATGAAGATATGCAAGTGAGAGGGCATTGGCACAAGTCACAACTAATTACAATCCAAAAGAACATCACAACAACTCAAGCCCAGTTTATTCACAAGTAGCTCCATGCAAAGTGACAATAGATTTAATCTCAACAATAGAAGCCCACAAACATGACAATAATAAGAACTGGGAACGTTGTTCATAGGGGCCAGCTTAGAAAAGCATTTTCAGCCTATAACTGATAGTAATTATAAAGTTTATCAATAACCAATCTCATTCCACTTGGTACAAAATCAATTCTAATAGGCAATAATCAGACCTTTCAGCCTCTAGAATAAAGGATTTTGAATACTTCTAATAAAATTTTCTACACATTTATCAGTCATTAATGGAATTAGATAGATGGAATTGTACTACTATAAGAGGGATGCAAGAAAATCTGCAAAGGGAATTGTCTAGATTCTTAGAGAAAACTCTAGTGTCAAACTGCTATGCTTCTCGAGAGAAGTTATAAAATGAAAATTGATTCATAAAAAATCAAAAGCTCATTAGTCAGGGATTGTGTAGGACCTTGAAGATGAACAAGACAACGATGCTGATAATAAATCACCGAGATTCTCACAAGGACGAGCTTCCGACAACAAAATATGTTTCTCTCTGATGAATGAGAAGTTTCAAAATTTGAAGTTCCATTCATTTCAAAAACTCACATACATCTAAGAGTAATCTTTTCAATGAGGTAATTGCAAATGAAGAAACGCTTTAGGCCATGGAAGTATGTCATACATAATTAGCTCCTGTTTGGAGTAGATTAAAATCTCAAGTCAAAGTCAACAATTAATTTTAACCATATTTCATCAACTTTTATCAAATTTTCTAAATATCTGATTTTAATCTACACCAAAAAGGGGCTTAATAAATTTTCCAGCTCTCAGAGTGAGCAAACACCGTTATTTCATGGCCCAAGTGTATTATCAAATCTAAATCTTACCCGTAATATTACAATTGTATGTTGGTTTACTAGTAGACTGCTCTAAAAGACTTGTCTCTCTACCATAACAATGTATAGGACTTCAAACAGTTGGGGAGCTAACAACAAAATGTTACACGTCTTTTTCTTTTCTTAATCTCTTCAATTTAATTTCTGAAAACCCAGGACACACTTTCCCAAGGAAAGACCTGTCAAGGAAGCTGGCTATGCAACCCAAGAGGCAACGGTTCCTAACTGAACATAAATTTACAGAGAAACAACCAAACATAATGCAAGCATAATTATACTATCACTTTATAAAAGCAAAATTTTAGACTCACCAACAAAGAGATGTAAATAATTAACCCAAACGAAAGGTTCAAGCAGCAGAAGCAACCAGAAAGATACATAAAAATAAAAAGCATACCACTGTCAAAGGCAGAAGAAGCTATGATACTACCTTCATACATAAAATCCAGGAAAAATATCGGTTCCTCATTAAAGGAAAATACCAATAGTACTCCTTTTCTTTAGCTTTTCTTGCTAGATAATCTAACACACTTTAACTACCAGCAATTAGAGGATGACATCTCAAGGCACATATGAAGTGAAGAAGAGGCCAAAGTACACAGCAAATCAAAACCATCAGGTCAGAGTTCATATTGTCTGCATGAGATCACCAGAACCACTTAAGGCAGCTCGCCAACAAGCTGTTATAAACCTGAATCAAACATCCATTCACAACTCAATACAACATTCCACATACAACAGACAAACAGAGTTCAGACTAAAAAAAAAAAAAATTCGAGAAGATGCTAAAATTTGAGGTAAATTCTTCACCAATCATAAGAGTTAGATTTCATAAAATTATTTAAAAAATATGTTCATAAATTTAGAAAGCATATGAAAAGACCAGACAAGAAAATAACAGAATCACTTGACTAATTAATATTCATTGGCACAAAGATAAAATGCTTTAGACAACTTAAAATGTTTAATGAAAAACATCTGATATTTTATAAATTTGCAAATACGACCAATAAAGTCTTAACATTCTATACAGCAGCTCCCAGACAATGATGGAGGTGGGTTATTGTAAGTTGAGCACATACATCACATGAATTCTTCAAAAAATCTCATTAGGGGTGTCGTCTACTAGCTGAATTGAACATCAAGTGTAAGGAGAAGTTGGCAAGACTTAGCTTAAGGCATATAACATAAGCAAACCAGCACATCAGCAGCTGGTTGGATGAGCTGAGAAGTAAGCAAAAGTTCCACAATAATACTCACATGTGGACAAAGAAATTTGAAGGATCCTCCAGAAAAGAGAGGTTGAAGGTTGAGGAGCTGATTTGGACGAGAACAGGCCAACACTCTTCACCCACTCCCATCTCATCACGACCTCCCACCTCAACCCCATGCGTGTTTAGCAAAATAGTTTATTTTATCAGACATTTCAGAAGAGGTAGTCCAGAATTGAACAAAACGAAATAAATAAATAAAATATCGTTTTGGCTGACCCCAAGTTTAACAAATTAAGAATTGGCTTCTTATGTCATTGTTTATTTTAAGGTTGAAATGATTTCTGAAAAGGCTGCACAATGAATAACATTGACTCATGAATGGTACTTAACTCTTAAAAACATATGCACATATAATGAGCTATAATATAACACCCTTTATGCATATTGTAAGCATAAACATGTTATTAGTATCTAGAAGTATTGCCATGTAGCCATGTGTCTGTGTGCATTTATTTATGAATGTTATTTGTATCTAGAGGTACAGTCACAGAGGTAAGTGATTGTGTGAGAATGTGCATACATGTACATGTTCAAAAATGTGCAATGAGAAATTCTAATATTTCACATGTATGAATCCACATAAAAATATCTACCAAACCTGCATGGACAATGCACCACACATCCAAAGCAGTTCTCAAAAATTAATGACAACTTCTGCAAAATATTAACATCAAAAGTGCCTTATTCCCAACCAATTTCATTAAAATGCTGCGTAACATTCCAAAATACACACCATCTCAATCAAATGAAGCATCAGAGTTATGAATATAAGGAGGCAATCTAACAAGTCAAATGTGTAAGAGTGTATACAAGGACAATCAATCAAACTGCGCAAAAAATTAACAAAAGCACATGTCATAGAATTAAGCCCCCGTTTGGCCCCCATTAAATTACATTTCATTACATTCTATTTTTCTCTCTCCTATTTTCAACCACACAATCTTCCATAAAATAATATTACACGTGAATCGAAAACTTTTTATTTTTTTTCAACCCCTCATTTTTCAAAAAAAAAAAATGCTATTCCTCCCATTTTCATTACAAAAAATGGGGATCAAACAGGGGCTAAGTTTTTAAAACTTGAAATCCTAAACTAGAAATGTTTTCCCATGATGCAATTCTACCATAAATTTAGAACTTAAGCAGATCAATCAGTAGTAATTCCAAATGACAGTCATATTCGTATGTAGTATACTATAATGTATTACTCCCATAGGCACTACACAAACTAAAGAGACGACCATATCACGAGCTCAAGCACGACAGCAAGATCATTGGCACATACTTCCCACTTTGATACCAAATGAAATAATGAGTTACTATAAAGGCACAAACATAAAAGATAAGAACTGCTATCAAAAGGGCCCTTATATAACATACGCATTTATCAATTCTCTCACTTTGACACATCATTGCCCATAAGACTAGATGATAACAAGTTAATAGATCATGCATTTAGCATGCGAAAATTCTCAATGCAATTTAAAGCCATAACACAAGAAACGTATCGTCCAACACTTTCCTATCGACATCCACCTTTGGTTAGATGGCACAAAATAATACTTGGCAAACTCCAGTACTTAGTCTCATTTAAACGCGTCCAAACTCGTCAAATCTACCACCATTCCACTTTCCTTTACATATTCCTGGTTTTCTCACATATACATCATCAGGAGGCAGACTAGCAGGGTCTCAACAAGATAGACTGCACTGGTTCTCTAAACAATGCCTGGTAGTTCATCAGCAAATATATTTTCCATCTAAGAAGCCAAAACAACCGAACAAATAACCTATCTAGAGAAGAAGGCTTTGTACAAACCTTGGCCTCCCACTCCACCAGAAAGAAATGGGAGAGGTGAAAGTAGTTGGCATCATAATAATCAAAATTGAAGGGTTCTGGCTTGGACTACTCCATCTTAGCTCATAATTTTGTGTCAAGAGATATAAATAATGTCTTATGTCTAATCCCAGTTGATATTTTGTAATAACATAAATATTTTCTTGAGGGAGAAAACTGACTTCTCTTGTTTCAAATGTGTTTTGCTACCAAAAAATTTAACACATGAAGAACTTTTCTTGACAGAGAATGCAATGATTAAGCCTCGAAGCAACTTGTACCGCATTAGGGAAAAAAAAAGGAATTTCATTTGATTTCTACAACTGTTAACATGCAGATGTTCTACAAATACATTATTAAGATCAAGGGAATTAAGAAGAAACAATAAATTTATCCTTCCTGATTATCAAGGCAGACAACTAAGTATGCAACAGCAAACAACCAACATTTTTAGATCGATTTCAAATAGATCATTAACTAATATAGCCATTTCAAGCTGGCACCAAAAAGCATATCACAACTTTTACCAGAGCCCCAGATAACAGAGATAACACACAGGCAACAACAAATCATAATTAATAACAATTATTTTGACTCCTCCAGATTACTTTGTGTGCATCATCTACATGTATGAATCCTGTATCCCAAGCACATAACGAGGCTTTGAACTCAAAAGTTGCAAATTACACTTCCCATATGAAACCACACAAAATTAATTAAGTGTTTCAAAAAAGCATAACACATAGTTGTGACAGGAAACCATGTTTGTTGATAAAAGCCGGAGGCACAAATCATCAGCACATTGATGAAATCATAAAAGACAGAGATGTTATTTTTAATAGAACCTATAACCTCGAAAGTCCAAGAGTAGAATGCACATCATGCAGAATCCAAAGTCATGTCCACAAAACAACAGTAGATGAGCATATTGAAATAAAAGATTAAGTTAATCAGACACGGAGCATAACCTACAAACAACAATGATACAAATGGAGTACAATAGAGGTACGGAAGCTACCTTTAATAGTAAGGATGCATCCCCTGGTACATTCCTCCGGGCGGAACTCTAGGTGCTGGTGATGTTCCTGCTGGCTGATTATGTTGGCTTTGATACCCACCAGATGACAAGCTGTACTGCGCACTCCGTGGATAATCTCCCGAACCTGCCCCAGCTGAGCTTGGTGGCAAACCATACAAGGATGACCCACGACCTGCACCACCCGATCCACTGCCAACACCACCCAGTACACCTCCAACTCCACCCTGTCCACCACCCAGTCCACTTCCAACTCCAACTTGTCCACCACCCAGTCCACCTCCAACTCCACCTGTACCACCACCCATTCCACCTCCAATTCCACCCGGTCCACCACCAGAACCCCCCAATCCAGCTCTAACCCCACCATATCCATCACCAGCACCACCTAAACCAGAACCAGCAATGCCCAGTCCATTATACCCAGTTGCACCAGGCCCAACAGAATTGGTCCCACCAGCATAAGGCCCACCCAGTCCAGACCCAAACCCACCACCACCCCCCAAATTCATCCCAGCAGCCTGGCTTCCAACCGCTGGGATCGCCTGACCACCTACACCACCACCAGCACCTAAAGGCCCTGAAAACCCAGTATACTGCCCACCAATCCCACCATACTGCCCACCCGGCATTGTTGCCCCCATCCCATCCGCACTGCCCACCTGCTGAGCTCCAACAGGCCCGGCAACCCCAATCCCCGGAACCTTCCCTCTTTTCCCATCTATTGCCAGCTTACAGTTTAGCTGATGCCCGTCAATATTCTTAATGGGATCCACAAGTGAAGCTCTAGCAGCCTCGGCTGTCTTATACACAAACAAAGCAAACCCCTTGGACTTCCCCGTCGCCTTATCAAACCCCAAAGGCCCCTCCTCTATCTCCCCATACATGGAAAAGTGCTGCAATAATCTCTCAGCAGGCATATCATACGGCACATTTGCCACATAAATCTTCCTTGCCGACACATCCACATGATTATTCCCTCCTCCAATACCACCCACCCCGGGCCCACTTCCTCCAGACATACCAGCCGCTGCAAGCTGAGTAACAGTCATCCTACCATCAATTTTCTTACTCGGTTCCTTCAAAGCCAACATAGCACCATCAACATGCTTAAAAGTAATAAACCCATAACCCTTAGACTTACCCGTAGCCTTGTCGAGAATAACCACCGCCTCATCTAACTCCCCATATCCTGAGAAGAGAGCGCGTAGCTTATCAGTGGTGGTCTCCCATCCAAGTCCACGAATGAACAGCTTCCGCTGGGTCATATCCCGGTCGGCGATTGACCGAACGGCATCAAGCACATCTGGGTGACGAAGAACGGCGTTTTGAACAATTTCCAACAACTGTTCATGGGGAAAGGGCTCAATAATTTTGCGTGCATCATCGAGGGTGAGTTTGTAAGGGATGAAGGCATCTGTATCCACCGTTATAACACCGTTATCGTCCATCTTGCGTTTCTTAATCGGATCCATTGGAAGAGAAAACCCTAGGAATCCTGTGAGTGTCAGTGAAAGGAAAGAGTGGTGTGTCCAAAAATTAACGAATTTGTTTGTGGCTTTTAAATATTTCGGAGATTCGATAAATTATGAAATTTAAATTATGGAAATAATGTTTTTTATATATAACCAAAGCACCTTTTTAAATATTTAAAAAATCCTTCTTCTTTTTTCAGTAAAAATATTTTCGCAGTATAAACAAACTGTAAAAATAAAATAAATAAAAACGAAACTCTATAGCCACGAAGCTCATGTCCGAGTACTGGAAATGCCGAAGTCTTCCATTTTTGTAGTGATTAATCTTCAATGCCCGCTCGACGTGTATACTCTGCAATGCTCTCCTCTTCCCGGTGAGGTATCTCTATCTATTTGTTTGTATATTCTTCTTTCCTTGGCATAATGATTCGAACTGATTTGAATCTGCAATTGTGGCAAATTTGTGATGATATGATGCTGAAAATGTTATCTACGAGCTCGCCCTTGTGGATCTGGGAATTGAGGCGTGGAAATTAAACTCTCGTGTCCAATTTTCACTGACATTTCTCTGTTGTTTGTTTAGATAAGCTTTATTCTGCATTTGATGTGATCCAAAGGAGGCCACAAATTGCCAAGAATTTGATGATCAAGAGAAAAAGCCTAAAGTTAAGTTCAAGATCTCGAAAGGTTAATAAAGCCATGCAAATTACTTGTTCAAGTTATGGAGTTCAAAAAGATGAAGCGTGCAAGCCAAATAACAACTTACATATTGGTCATGAAGGTAAAATTATGTTTGGCGCATTCGATTCAAGTTTTGGACAATATATTGAAAAATTAGTAGCGTGAATTAAAACGGGCACAATTTTCAACTCGGTTGTCGGATTTTCGCCCATGACTACAATCCGGAATCGTCACAAAATTCTACACATAAAAAAAGAGAGTTGAAATTTAAACTATGCGATTGCATGGCTTAAAGGACGTGAGACCACATAGCATATTCCCGAGATAAAATTGAAGGCTAGAAGTTGTTCTACACGACCGCATAGTTCATTACTGGGACAAGATTTTCCTTTTTCTGAGAGTTACCTACTTGAGCTAGAATTTTATTTCCATTGATATTTTTGTAATCTTTAAACATGATTTCCATTTTGAACTAGTTTTTAGGGTTTAGTATAAATAGGTTTATTCACCTTTCATTGTAACAACATTGATATTAGAGAGAATTTATACAAAGGGCTGTTTGCTTCCCCTTTTCTTGTTTTTCATTGAGCAATCCGAACTTATTAAGAAATTACTTTTCTTGTGGAGTTAACAAATCCGGGTGAGATTCACTAATTGTGTGATCAAAAGGTCGGCAAATTCTTGTTTGTTAGTTGTTTGGTTCATTGTTTTTGGGTGAAATCCAAAACTTGGGTTCTATTGGCTTTCTAGGGTTTGGTTTCAATCTAGTTGTGGATTTCGTAGTCATCGCTGCTACGCAGGTTCACATCTACATTTTGGCTATTTTTCTGCTACTTCAATTTTTTCCCCTGCTGTAAATTTTATGCTTATAAGGAAAATGACATAGATGTAGAAATTTTTTGTTGGTTAGAGATAATCTAAATAGTTTATTTCGATTCCAATATCAATTCGGTTTCTTGCCAGGAAAGGACTCGTTCATATCATGTGATTGAATGTGCACGTATTAAGCCAAGTACCTTGTGTAAAATTTTCGATGCATCTCTTGTGAAGAGTATGTCTCCATCCATTGGACTAGGTCTTGCCATTGTTAGTTCCTCAAAGGGACCATTCTCCTGTAAAACAGTGCAAACAGGTACTTTCCAGGGGGAGACGCCTTACATAGAGCCAGATGGATCTTGTAAAGAGCAAGGCATGTTTGATTTTCCCATGGAGCAAGTTTCAAGTAAAGAGATTAGAGTAGACAGTAATGCCAATTCAGTAGAAATTTCTGAATTCGACAATGATTATGAAATCCAGAGGAGGAGGAAAATTGGTCTAGCAAACAAAGGAAAAGTGCCATGGAACAAAGGAAGGAAACACAGTGAAGGTAGGTTTTTCTGCAGTCTACTCTTATAATAGGAAACTTGCTCGGTCTAAATGGCATTGTATCTACATGTGCAGAGACTCGTGAGAGAATCAAACGGAGAACAAAAGAACCCTTGAAAGATCCTAAGGTGAAGTCATGTAAGAATCAGATAATTTACATACATTTACTTTATGGATTTCAAAGTTGGTTAAGAACTAATAATGCTTTCTTTATTGCCTTGTTAAATTATTCACTACTAAGGAGAATAATTTGTTGGACTGGTTACGTTACTATTATACATTATTCTTATGGACATAGTAGGTAACTTAGAAGAAGCCACTTCACAATTCTTATTTCTTTGATTGATACTAAACTTAGTTACATGATTAAATTGCCTTACCGCTGTTTTTTTTCTTGTCGACTTCTAATTTTTGAAGGTTAGAAAGAAGATGTCAGAATGTCCTCGTTCTCTCAGGTATTCTTTGTTTCTCCTATTCCACTGGATCATGAATGAAACCAACCTCTCACAATGATAATGGTATTGTTCTTTTGGCTCAACACGGCATTCTGTCCCAATGAAGTTTGAAGCGGATAAGGGTTCTGATGTTCTCTCGAAGAATAATCATTTAAGTACTAACATGTGTCCTATATAAGGTCACTGTATGAAAGACAAAAGCTCTTAGCTGCAGTATAGTTTAGAGACTTTTAAACAGCTCCAACTTATCAAAAGTCGAGAGAAAATCTTAATTTTGCCACATACAAGCTACTGTATATAATTTCATGCCAAATTGAAATATAGTACTTAAAAAAAACAAAAACACAGAGATAATTGAGGTTTTATATACTAATACATCTTCCCTAAATGGTTTCTCTTCTAGCATTTAGTTCATTTCCTCTTGCTCGTGACAAACTTTCACGGTGTTGATTTCTAAACCAAAGGTCTTTTCTTAGATGTGCGAAGGCATAAAACTAATGACTTAGTGGCTCACCCAATAGAACGAATATAACCAGTAAAATCAACTTTTAAGCTTAATGGTGGCAAGAAAACTAGGTCTCTTTTCTGCAGCAATCGAACCAAATCAAGAATACGCTCATCGCTCACAAAACTATGGGGGAAATGGCTACAATGGAAAAGATCAAGGGAGAAATTTTTGCAAGCATGGGCTGAATGTATTGCAAATGCTGCTAAAATTGGTGGAATTGAACAAGAAGAACTAGATTGGGATAGCTATGACAAGATTAAAAGAGAGATGGCCCTTGAACAGCTTCAGCAGGCTGCAGAAAAAGCGAAGGCAAAAGAAATGGCATGCATTCGAGCAGAGAGAGCATTACAAGCAAAAGTCGAAAAAGAGCGGGAAGAGAATGCAAAACACAGAGCAGAATTGAATAAGAAAAAAGAAAAAATCGAAGGAAGAAAAGAACAGCTGGTTGTTTCTCACAAGCTAAAACTCAGGGAGAAACTAATCAAGGTAAAACCCAATAAAAGTTTCATGTGAAACTGTGACGCTATTGAAGCGAATTATCTATATCATATCTGATCTTATTAATGTTCTTGTTTTCAATATGGATTGAAGTATTATTTTGGTTGCGTGGGTATAAGAAGACAAAATGGCTAAACAAGATAAGTGTAGAAAGTAAATATTGCAGGGTTCAGGTGACATTTAAAACAATGGGAACAATCTAATATTCATTGATGAAGATAAGTTGATTTCTTGTTTTAAGGTAAACAATTAGTGATGCTTACACATTTGGAAAGGGTAGAGAACCCTGGAATATCTGTCAGCTATTTGTTTAGTTTTCCGCAATGTGTACTTTATAGACGTGATGTTGCTTTAGTTTTTTCTGGGCATGGACTGTCACATAGGGAAGAAGGCTTTCTTGTTGTATAGTGTTCTAGGAATCCTTCAGTATGGAATTGCTTAAAATTGCATCTCACTAGTGTAGACCATTTCCTATCCTCTGTATTTTGTTTAGTTTGCCCAATCTCTACTCTCGTTTTCATGATAATTCTTATCTTTCGCTGTAAAGAGATTCACAGAAAGAAATCCGCGGTTAGTCACATAAGCAGTCAACAGAAACGACCTTGGGAGAAATTTGACATGGAAATCGTGAAAAGAGAACAACTGCAGAATGAAATTTCACTGGCACATCAGATTCAATTTGCTAAGAATACAAGAGCACAATGTTAAACTCAAAGAATCTTTCGATACTCTGTCTTCTGGACTTGAGTTCAGTTAGAGTACATCAAATTAGAGCTAATGTGGCTGCAAAAGGAACTTCAGATTACTCCAACACAAACGAAATTTTGTATTAACATCGTTTGTCCAATCTTGTGATCATTGCTTCAATAATTGAAACTTGCTTGTAATATTAACCCCAGTAAATTTTTGAACTAGCTTATTTGTTATTCGTCATCAAACAGTTGACTTCATATATTCGTATGTACCTTTGACAAAAAATACTTGGATCTAAAGGTTTTATACTGTCAATATGATCCCAGAGAAAATATTCAACTTCATCCATTGCATCCGTGCATAAAATCCACTTTGATTTTCAGTTATTGTGATTTCTGCTATCAAGAAGCCAAGAACAAGATTTTAAAGATGGAAAAATTCTCGTAATGTCATCCACAATCCAGTGGTGATAAACAAGAGTTCAAGCACGTAGAGTGAAAGTTAAAAAAAATTTAACAGATATTAGAAACATGAGCTCAGCCATTGCACATTCAAAAAAATTAAAAGCAACAATGTCAAACCCAAATTAGCATACATGATTACCATAGGAAATTTGATCTATAACATAGTTCATGGCAGTTCTTAGTACCCATAATATCTACATCATGTCTATCAATTATCTTGATGTTGGGGCACGTCTCTTCCAGGTATATTCTGGTTTTGGTGAGGGTTGCCAGCACCAAAATTTGGATCATAGTTCTGGTTCTGTCCTGGACCTGAACCCGTACTTGGACCATAGCTGTTCTGGTTTTGTCCAGGAACCGATCCCATGTTAGGACCATAGCTATTACGGTTTTGTCCAGGAACCGATCCCATGTTAGGACCATAGCCGCTCTGATTGTGTCCGGGAGCAGACCCCACATTTGGACCATAGCCGCCTTGGTTTTGCACTGGACCTGACTGATAAGGCATTCCTCCAGTGTTTGGTCCATTCCTGTACTGGTACTGGTAATTTGTTGCATTGTTGGGCACTCCTCCCATGTTATTCGGGGGGTAACTACCCATATTATTTGGGGGTCCTCCCATGTTGGGATGCTGCTGCTGCATACCTCCCGGGTGGTTCGGCAGCTGCTGCATACCTCCTGGGTTGTTGGGCGGCTGCTGCATTCCACCCATATTAGGTGGTGCAACCGTGTTGGGCGGCTGCTGCATTCCTCCCATATTAGGTGGTGCACCCATGTTTGGTGGGCTTCCCATGCGACCAGCTGGACCGCCCATATTGGCTCCAGAGTTCTGATTAGCCATCTGCATGTCCCTTCTTCTCTCAAAGTTTCTTGATCTATCGAAGTTACGAGGTCTATCATTGCGCCTGTTTCTCTCATTTGCCCGAGCATTGTTTCTCACCCACTCCTCATGGTATTTAGGGTCATATGGAACAGCCTGCCCATTTATAAACGGTTCCCCTGCAATGTACATATGAAGATGCATATTTGGAGATCATCAGAGATTTTAGTAGGAAGAAATCTGTACGTCTGAAATTTCACAAAGGCAAAAAAGTTCATAGAACATGACGCAAAGCACAAAGAACCAAATTCAACTAGAGAGAGTTTCCCACACAGATTAACAGCACAAGTGGTCCATGATAAAGGGGCGAGAGACAACAGAAATAAGAACTACATGTTAAGTAATAACATAAATATCATGGCTTGCATGACTTCTCTAGTGAAAATTTCAGAACCCCCAAAAAGAGTTGGTTTTCCTATCTTTCTGGAGGCCAGCACTGTATAATAACATTTTGCATCAGTTAACATCAACATTCAAGTCATTCAATTGAATCCAAAAATTAAAAAATTAACTATGTATTATCAATTGTATGAACCTTTTTGTAGGCAACCTGTCCAGTCCATCACTACATCTACTCTAAGACCATACAGCTGACCCGAAAACTAATAATTGCTAGCAACCATTTGTCAAGATTTTATAGAACTCAGTATGAACACAATCCTAGGATTCAGTAACAGTAACACCCGTTACCCTTGCACAATATAAAATGCAGCAAACACGAACCCAAAAGTTCACTGGCACAGTGTAGAAAGTAATAAATCCTGCCCAATCAAAAATGCATACGTATCTTTTAAGTACACGATAACACCTCTCAGTAACCATAAACAAATTGAATGAACCAGTTGGAGACTGAAGTCTTGGTAAAACTCGATGGTTTTAGGTATGTTAGGTGTAAGGGAAATTTCTAGTACAAAATAGGAAATACAAAGCATCCTACACATGTTGTGATAAGTAATAAAGTTTCTCCCAACCACTACAAAGAAAAATAAACAATAACGACCAAACACAAGCACAAACAGAATGGAGGTTCATACCTCCATAATCCTTGTTCTTGACATCCAAGTAGGAATCAGGAAGCACCCATCTAACTCTGGGCAATTCTGCATCATAAGTTGTTAAATAATCAATAAGTAAATCTCAGAAACTCCAAATGACCGAACAGGAAAAGAACAATTACCCTTCAACTTGCAGGACAACTCCTCACTCACAAGGGCTCCAAATGCAAAGTAATGACGAGTAGAGACCGAATAAATTTTCATTCTTGCTTCTTCCTCACTGGAGAAAGTTCAAAAGTTCACTCAACATAATGCAATGCTACAAACTTTAGTACAATATAGTCATGAAAAGAGAAAAAAATTAAATCAAAGTGTGTATCAACAAAGTATACTCCACCCAAATCATACAAGCTCTACTGATAACACCAAATGATAATCAAAAGGCCATCATGGGCACCAAATTCAAACATTTGACTAGAAACATATGTGTCGTATCAATTCTCAATGGACAGTGCAACAGCAAAATAAACCAAAAATATGGCAATCTTGGTCAGAGCTCAACCCCGAATTTTTGCATCTCTAAAATACAACGCAAAGTACCTAATTCACCCAACTCGAGCAGCAGATCGTCCAAACTATAAATCCCTTAACTTTTATCAAAAACCAATAAATTTAACTCCATATCATAAAATACAAAATCTTTACTAGTAATTCCTTTCGTTCCACAATTTTCAACTTCCTATGAGCAGTAAAACAAACAGATTTTACGACAGTCAAACTTAGCATGAATGAACGTTACTTTCCCATCAAACAGTACAATTTTAAATCCGTTTCGCACAAAATAATAAAACTACAAACATAAAATGTAAGCACAAAGCCAATCATCAACCTTCCAACGACCATGGCTAGGGTTTTGATGTAGCTGTCAATGATTTCATCTCGAGTGGGTTCTCCCTCGGGCTTTTCCATGACGATGAGCCAGTGCTCAAAGTCACACCCATCGAGCAGAATTGTCTCTTTCGGGGGTCGGTTCGACCAATTGGGATTTGGATCACTGAGTGAAGACGAGGTAGAACGGGTTGCGAATCCTCTAGAGGAGAACACTGGAGACAGTAAGCGGAAAGGGGAAGTGGACGCCGCCGCAAAGAGAGGGCGAAGCCGGAGAGCAAAGGAGTGCGGCGGTGCAGCAGATGAGACGGCGGCGTAGGAGCGATAGAAGCTGGCTGTTATGGTTTGTCTGGTTGTGGTGAATAGAGACCGAGTCAGATACCAAGATGCCATTTTAGACGCCATTTTAGGGTTCGATAAAGCGATAAACCCCAGAGAGAGTCGTATTGAGAAGATAGGAAGGGTTTAGGGTTCTGGATATTTTATACATATTGACTCGGAAGTTCCAAATGCCCCTGGAGTTGTGAGAAATTGCATAAATTATCTTCTCTCCTTATCGGGTTATATTTGCGGGATGGGCGCATCCGAATATATGTCGGTTTCTATGGCCCGTTTTGGGAGAGTACTATGAGAAAATTGTTGGAAATGACCAGATAATCCAGGTGTATTTGTAAAGTGACATTTGACGGTCTTTTTAATTAAAAAAATGAAAATTGAATTTAAAACTCAAATTCCCAAAATACCCCTCTTCCTTTATCTTTCCATTTGCTCAACAGTCGACCAAAAATAAGGAAAATACACGATCGATTCCTAATCGGTAATCAGTCGGGAGAACTTGCTAGTCCATTGCCGACAAACTACTTCTTGTTAAGGTAATCGTTACTATATTGAATATTTACTTGGATTAATGCTTAGATTTTGATAAAATGTGTGAATGATTCATTTGTGGGAGATTTTTTCAATATATTATTGGTTTTATAGGTAATATAGGGTTTAGATATGTGTTTTAATGGATGGATTTTTACATTTGTATTTCTCGTCGAAAATGGAGATTTTTCGACTAGAAAAGCTAGAGGATGCCGGCTACAGAGGCTGCCTGCATTTTGGGTGAATCCTGGCTATTAACAGTCGGTATGGCCCAGCTTAGTGGGCCGACTGTCGGCCCACTTTTTTTAGAATTTTTCAACCTAATTTTTTTTTACATATATTTAATAATTTAATTTTAAAAAAATTTTATTATTAGTTTTTAATAAATAATAATTTATTTAGTCGTCGAATTTAAATAAATTTTTTACATTTAATTTTTGTTTTATTATTTATTTTTATTTCCTCATTTTTTATAGATAATAATTTTTTTTGTTCATCGAATTGAAATAATTTTTTAATTGTAATTTTAAATTTAATATTTATTTTTATTATTAGTTTTTGATACATAATAATAATTCATTTACTCGTCGAATGTAAATAAATTTTTTACTCTTATTTTTTTTATATTATTTCCTCATTTTCTATAAAATAATTTTTTCGTTCTTCGAATTGAAATAATTTTTTTAATTGTGAATTTAAAATTAATAATTATTTTTATATATTAGTTTTTGATAAATACTAATTTATTTAGTCATCGAATTTAAATAATTTTTTAAGTTTTAAATTTTAATTTTATTAATAGTTTTGGATGATATTCTTTTTGTTCATCAAATTTAATTAATTTTTTAATTGTAATTTTAAATAATTGTTAGAAATTTAATTTGAAATTTAATATTTATTTTTATTAATAGTTTTTGATAAATAATATTCTTTTCGTTCATCGAATTTAAATATTTTTTTAACTTGAATTGATTAAAAAAATATTGATAATAGGAAAAAATTGACATTATTGATAATAGGATAAAAAAATTCACATTATTTATGATTTTAATTATTATGAATCTGTGTCTTGCGTATTGTAGTTACAATTTCGTTCGCTAAATTTTATGTCATTATGCTTTATTTTATTATTACTTGTACAATGTTATAACATTTTAAATTTTTACAAGATGAATTATCATCTCGACGTAGAGTTGAGACAGATGCCAGGCAAAACTACGT